TGTAGTTTGGCAGCACTGTCCTTAATTACTATGCCAAAAATGAGCGCGATCTGTCAGACAGTTCGTTTACGGCAGCTGTTGAAACCAGTTCACCTCAGTATTGCGTTGCGAAATGTCTTCGACGGTCGTACGACCGTCCTGAAAGGCTTTGTACCACTCATAAACTTGAGTTTTCGATAAAACTGATTCCCCATAAGCCTTTTGTAGCATTCGCAAAGATTCTGCACACGAAATTTCGTTCGAAACACAAAATTTGATGCAAACTCTTTGTTCAATATTTTTTTTTTTCCATTTTTTTTTTCGCAACGCACTACTGAGGTGAACTGGTTTCAACAGCTGCCGTAAACGAACTGTCTGACAGATCGCGCTCATTTTTGGCATAGTAATTGTCCTTAATTGCTGCCAAACTACATAAACTTAAAATATCGAAAAATATACAGCGCGCGAATTTTAAATGAGAATTTCCGAAAACTTTTCGGTCTTAATGTATGTCATATTATTTCTAGATTTAAAGATTGTAATTCTAGATTAAAATTTAATTTATTATTGTCATTAAATTAGCAAAAAGAATACACACAACATATTTTAAATAACTACTTGCCATTGATAAAAATAATATAATAATTAATATTATTTATAATATGATATCATATACAACAATAAAACTTTTAACATAGAATAAATAAATCAATAATGGTTTCACTCTAATTATAATATCTCCCAAATGTTCAAAAGGCTGATCCTAGCTTTGAAATCTGAACTAATTATAATTTTTTTAAAATAAGTTTATTTATAAAACTAAAAAAATAATTAAAAACAAACCATAAAAGATTAAATAATTTAAAAAAAAAAATTATGTTTATGCTTTCAAAATTGTTGGTGCTTTTGCTACCCGAAATTTTGTTTTTTGATAACGAACCAGAAATTTTCATCTCCTATTTGGTATAAAAGTAAAACATTTTTGAAAATAATTTAGTTGAAGTACAGAATTCACAAGTACCTCTTTTATAAAAAAACAAATAATATAAGAAAATATGGCTAAATTTTTGGTAATTTCCAATCAAAATAAAAATTTAAGAAAATAAACTGAACAGTTTTTTAAATTTTAGATTGTCTTCCTTGCACTCATTGCTGTTGTCCTCGCTGGCGGATATGGCCAAGGCGGACATGGTCAACAAGTCGGACATGGTCAACAACAAGGCCATGGCGGTTTCGGTGGTCAACAAGGCCATGGAGGATTTGGTGGTCAACAAGGCGGACATGGTCAAGGTGGATTTGGCAAGGATAGTCATGGATCACATGGAGGATTTGGATCACAAGGTGGTCATGGAAACCAGGGTCATGGAAACCAAGGACATGGCAATCAAGGACATGGAGGTCGCGGAGGACATTATTAAGAATTCGAAGGATAACGGCATCACTAAATAAAAACTAATATGAAAAATTTAATAGAATTCTTTTATTTTGAAGCTTTTGTATGTAACGAAAAGTGTACCACATTAGTTACTTTATATTCTTACATACTACTACTGATTTTCTGAACTTCTTCTGGAGCATAGGGCCTTCACCATCGATTTAAATTGTATTCTGCTAGGAACTGTTCTTGTGACCTCATGCCAAGTAAATTCGGCATCTGTGAATTCTTTTTCAATTATTCCACGATGTTCCTTGTGGTGCACCGGGTAACCGACTACCTTGTAGGTTCCATCGCAGTGCTTGCCTTGAATATTCTTTACACACCCTATTAATACTCTAATTTAAGAAACACTAAAAAATCGGCAAGGCTTTTATAAAAAGGTTTGTAGTTAAACTGTAATTTTGTTTGTAGTATTCCTCTCCAAAATCACAGAACGGTATTTTGAAGGAGAGATTGTTGCTTGGTTTAATTAAGTTGAAGACCACATATTATAAGCTAGTGTAACTCAGTGAACCTAAGATAACTTAAGAGTGAGTTTGAACAAACACTTATCTATAGCATAAACTATATTTAGTAATCTTATTTATTTGATAGAAATTTAAGCGGTTTAAGAACATAGTTTAGAAAAGTAATTTAAGGAAAATTTTTTTTCTTTTAATAGTAGGTGTATATCATAAAGAATAAAATTATATGACAGATTGTATTTCATTTTAAAAAAAATGACCTATTTATATACAAAATTGTGTCCAACTGAATTAAGAGTAGATTATTCTTACAGTAATGAATTATATAGTTTTCAATATCAATATATTCTCAGTAATCACAACATCAATTTCCAGTAGTCTTTGCTCTACTCTTTATACAGGATTTAATTATTTTCATATCATTTATTATTATTCACGCAGTTTCTAATAGAATATTATTTAAAATTGTTGACATTAATTGAGAGCAAATCGAATTTAATTCGGGTTTAAGGCGTCGGTGCACTAAAATAACTGCTAAAGAAGTTTCACTAAAACTGGAAATAACTACTTATCAAAACTTCGCTTACCAGATCCTATTTGATCAAGTAAGTACATTTAACAACACTAAATTCTTTTTTTTCAATGGCGGCGCTACTAAGCTCAAATCGTAGCCTGTTTTTCTGCTAGACATGGGAGTCTCTGTTAATAACGGGTTTTCGCTTATATTTTCTCAGAAAGAGGAATTCGAAAAATCAAAAAAAAATAAAGAAGTGGTCAAAAGAATTTCTATTGTTTTGTTCTCGTAAAACACACATTTTAATGAACATAAGCTGGTAATATAAGTTTTAATTATGAAACACCATTGTTGTAACCTCAGAAGAAAGTTGTCATTATATTTCTTTCAGATTTGAGTTACAGAAACAGGAAAGCACTAATCTATGGAAACGTACATATTTCAGAGAGATTTAACTCAACTCAACTCGTATAGATCCAAAGTAGAGAAGCCTAACCATCTTTCAAACTAAAGTCATGATTTATAGATATAAGTTATTTGTTTTATTTATATAGTTTCACTATCATGAATATCTTCACTATCTTGACAATTACTTTTATTTGTCAATAGCTCTGTTGCTTATGAGCCTCTCAACTAACTGAGAAATATTTACCCACTTCTTTTTATTTCACCTTCCTGATTATATAGCTTGGAGTTCTGTTAATACAAAATATAATGTAATATAGTTACATATAATCTCATGTGATATAAAATCAACAATATGTGTGAGTCTTCGAATTGTAAATTAATTTCTAGTAATATACATAAGTACTCTTCAAACAAAAAAAAATCAAAATAGACCTTCACATTGGGTATAAAAACTTGATTGGTTTCTTGAGGTTATCACTTAAATTAAATAAAATATATTTATTACTTATTTATTACTTGACCTAATTTTGTAATGTACCTCAAATTAATATAAATAAAAAAATATTAATTGCAAAGTTAGAGAAATATTTTAATTTAAACAAGAAAAGAAATTAAAGAAAAATGTAGACAGATGATATATTTTTTTAAAAAAAATGCTCTTACTTAGGACTTATATACCTATAGATACAAATATTTTTACATGTTTTCATAATTCATATTTTTTGCTCCACTTTAAAAATGTGGAAACACAGCTTTCCTCACAATAGAGTTACTATTAGAAGAACAGTCCACCCCCCTGATATTTTTTTAAACATAAGCCCAACAATCTTACCCTACAGGAAATTCCAATAACGGAACCGTGAACGCAGTCTTGACTACGGAGGATAAATATATGCAGACCATTAAAGATTATTGAAACACTGCTTATAGTATTTAAACTATATAATGGTGTAATTACATGATAATTGCTGAGATTTACTGGACGTTGGAAATTAGTGAAATATACTATTCCAATTTGAATTATTAATTCAACAGAAGGTATTTCTCTGTCTCACTCACTGGGGAGATATTATAAGTTCTTTAAATGCATTCATATTTAAACTTCACTGCCAGTTACTTTCTTATGTCTTAATTAATCACAAAGAATATCTCACTTACCACGTACTTTAACTTTTCAAATTAATAAATAATACACTAAGAGTGCTTTCAGAATTTTTTTTCTATAACTACAAGATTGTCGGAATACTCTTTATTTAATCTATGTAGGGAAACGATACTCACATAGGTATGGTATCATTCGCTAAGCAATATCGCAAAGCGTGCACTGGCAGCAGATCTGTCAATCAATATCAGCAAAACCAAGTCTATGCGTTTGAATGCAATCTAGTCAACAAATTTCCAACTAGATGGCGTCTACATCGAAGTTGTACAAAATTTCTGCTATCTGGGAAGCTACATTTCGTATAACGGCGGCAGTCAACAAGACATTCAACACAAACTATCGAAAGCGAAGCAAGCGTTCGAAACCCTTACCAAAATCTGGCCTTCATCCTACATTTTACAACGCACTAAGATACACCTCTACAAAGCAAATGTAAAATCAACTTTACTATATGGTGGCGAAAGTTGAATTTATCGGCAAGCGACGCACAACATCTTCAAGCATTTGTCAATCGCTGTCTACGACGCATCCCCCATGTATTCAGGCCAGCAACCATAGCCAATAGTGAGCTCTGGTTAAGATGAATCAGCCTCTTATAACTGAAAAAATAGTAACGCGCAAATACAGATGGCTTAGGCATACCTTAAGAAAACCCACTTTTCTAACACTTTTCTTGATATCGGAAGAATAGTGTTAGATTTCAATCCTCAAGGCAGTAGAAGACCGGCGCGTCCGAGCAAAACTTGGAAGAGACAAACTGAAACCGAATCAAGAAACGCTGAAAACAGCTGGAGTAAAAGAAAAAGTCTTGCATTAGATAGAGTTCAATGGAAACTGCTTGTTGCGGTCGTATGCTCCACCTAGGAATAAAAGGTTTAATATATAATCCCTCTTTATTTAGTTTTTGCGTTACCTTCATCATTCTCATTATCAAATTTTTAATTGCTCTAACCTAATCTAATTTAATTAAAGCAACAATTTTTAATCCAAACAAAAACTTCGTAAAAGTAATAAAGTATATATGCATATATGTATATACAGAAATTACTGATATAACCGACAATGCAATAACCGATATACACATCTGTTCTTTCACTTAGCAAAATTGACTAAGATAATAAATGTATATCTAAATTACTATATCTCTAAAATTTCCTTAAATATCAAAGAGTATTTTAGTAGAATTAATACACTATATTTATTAAATGGAAGTTTTGATTTTTCATACACAACTATAATACTAAATACAACTAACTATTTATAATACTCATTAGGTTAGCAATTTTGTATATATATATATATATATGTTCTTACCGTATATTTTATAGGTACTGATTTGTTTAATACATTTGATTAACCATTATTTTGAACTGTAGACAAAGAATCGAGCAGAATTTTTTATGGGTTAGTTGAACTAAATATTACTAATACTCCAATAGGCAGTGAGATCGGAAAGTCACTATCTTACATACAGTATGAGGTATGAGAAGGTCTAATGCCATATATTGGATTATGTTGAGAATTGGATAACTATACGTATAAAGATAGCTACAGATCTGGTCACTGGCTAAAACCAGATAAATTATGTCCTCAAAAATGGACTATGTCCGATAAATCATAGTCGCAAAAGTTTTAACAAATTAAGACTACTGTTGAGAATCTTCCAAAATATTACGAGTATTAATTTTAAAACGCAAGGAAATTGATTACTCGTGTATAAAATAAATTTTAGATGTTTATTATATATTTTTTTTTATAATATTAAAATTTAAATAAAATAAAATTAATATTGCATTGTTTAAATATTATTATATGTAACTTTCCTTTTATGAATGCCGACAGATTAGTTTGTCAGTCCAATTGATAACCTCAATAGACAGAGTTTTTTATGATTAAAAACATAAACAAAAGCATTTTCCTACAACGGAATAAATTCATTTCAAATGAATAAGAAAGTCATTTTCCGACTAAATATTGTGCTGGTATTTCCCATTTACTGAGAAATGTCTGGTTTATGTCTGGCATTCTCCTTGCTTTTTCATTGAACTATTAAAATTAATTATGTTTTATGACGCAAATAAGTTTTGTTTATTACAACTAAATTATGTTTCATAACTATATATACATTATACCATAGGTATATATATTTATAATAATAAATATTTATATTAAATATTTATATATTTATATTAATTTATATTAATAAACATAAATATATAGGTACATATATTTGTATATATCTATAATTAAATATAAAGACATAGGTATATATAAATATACCCATATATATATAAATGTATGGGTATATATATTTATATATACCTATAATTAAATACAAATATTTAGGTATATATATTTACATATTTGTTTCTAATTACAAATACTTAAATACCATTAACATATTCTTATTTAATATATAATATATTTATTTAATTTTTTACATTTACAATTTTTTTTATTTTTAATATGTTTATAAAAATTGTTTTTTCTATTTCCAAAAATTTTGTAATTATTTGTTTAAAGAATAAATAATTTTGGTGATAAGAGTTTTTAATGTACGTGGTACTAAGAAACTTATCAACATATTAAGACATCCAAAATTTGCGTTTTTTGCTATAAAAACACATCATATGTGTTATTTAAATTAGTTTATAAAAAAATTATAAAGTGAAAACAATAAAAATTCTCATAATGGCAAAATTATTGGTGAGTTTCTTAAACATTAGAACTAAAAATATAGGACTCTAATGAATTTGGTTTTCATTTTCAGATTGTTTTAGCTGTAGCTCTTATTGCTGTTGTATTGGCTGTTCCAAATGGTGGGTATGGTAACGGTGGATACGGTCACGGTGGATATAATCAAGGTGGATATGGTCAAGGCGGATTTGGTCGTAATGATGGTCATGGTGCAGGAGGATATGGTAACGCGGGACATGGTGGACATGGTATCGGTCATAATGGCTTAGGTCATGGTGGTCCAATTGGTCACGGCGGTCATGGAAATATCGGTGGACACGGACATGGTGGATATGATGGCCCAATTGGTGGTGGCTACGGTGGTCACCAAGGACATGGAGGTGGTCGCCATTACTAAATTATGACAAATCAGTATAATAGAATAATTTAAGAACAAAAAATAAATAAATAAAAAATTAAACAAAGTCTTTCTACACTAGGGTTGTTATAAAGAACAAAACAATATCAGACTACCTAAAGAATAAATAATTAATATTTTTCGAATTAAACTATTACAATATAGTGTATAGTTTTATATATATGTTACTGAAAGAAATGTATGTTAACGTAATTAATTAATGTTTATTGTTATGCTGATCTACGGTCCGTCATCAGTTAGAAGATAAATAAATGATAATGATTCTAGTATAGTTAAAGTTTAGTGTGGGGCAGAGAAAAGCCCCCCTAACTCAAATCACAACAACAACAACATATATTGATTTTAATAAAAAAAAAAGTGAGTTAATTTTTACAGAAGGAACTATAATCTACACAAAAATTAGATCGTTTTATTCAGATAAGAATATTATTACCAAAGCGCTTATCTAACAAACGTTAATGCGATTCAAAAAGAAATTCATTCAAGTAATTATGGTATTTAAAAATAAGTAACACGTAATGCGTTTAATATAATTGCCCCACTGTTCATTGGTAGTCTTAGCCATTTATATATATTCGATATCCAGTGATCATTAAAAATTATGTAATTAGTATTAATGATAGTAATTACTTTTTCTGTTTTTAGCTCAATTTTTATTTTTTTTATTCTTAATATACCTTTCATATGAATCTACGGGGTTATACATTTCGCAAACCTCATTTAGCAGTACTCTTTTCCAACACATATAACTTATCCATAAAATACTGTGATTCAAGGCACTAAGTCTACTTTAGCGATAAAGTTTTTTTTTTCTTAGCGGATATAAGTAACTGGCAAATAAGTTACTGTAAAGTGACACGCTATCAATACTGATATCTTTATATAATCACCAACTTTTTGCTGCTATATATGAAGATATAAAAACTAATAATAATATCAAAGTTCTGACGTATATAATCAGGATCTCGTATCAGGGAATTAAATATGCAGGTCGATCATTGCACCTTTGTGGGAAAGTATTCAAGACAGTTATCAAGCATTTCGGCAACAGTCTGGACCGGTTGGATATACATGCATTTTGTAAAACTTTTCAGGTCGTAGAGAGATTCGAATAGTGGACTAGATATTCCACATTTCGACTTCCGGTATATCATACTTCATTATTTTGAAATCAGAACTCGTATAAACGTAGGACTAGAAGCATGGAACGACTACGATATTGTAATCTTGAGCATTGTCTAAATCAGCAACTTTATGGATGACACCCAAAATCTGAAATCAATAATTTCAATTACTACAATCAATTAATCATCGCTTAATCAATAACTTTTATTGACCGACCTAAGGTTAAAACTTATCCTAAAAACTATTGAATAAAGCAAAGACATCGCAGCATCATGCATATAATTTGCTAAAGCGCTGCCCATGCGCCCCCTTGTTTCTAGATAATATTATTTTTTGCTGTAATTTTTGAGTTGTATTTAATAGTGAACTAGTACCTGTCTGATAGTAACCGTATAAAAATATTTCTATTCAATTTTTTAATTGATTTTAACTTAAATAAAAAAGGCATTAGATAATTTTTTTTTTAAAATTCATTTTATTTATTTAATATTTTAACTTAAATTAGCAAATCTTTTTACACACATATATAAAATATATATTATACAATGATATATACTTAACTAAAATGTCCATTTATAATTTGTAAAAAAAGTACAACAATTTCCTAGCCTAGATTTTTAAATTAGATCAAGTTATGTGCTATAGTGAAATTCATTCAAATGTGGTGATATAATTAAAAATTATATATAACAAAGATAAAGCAAAGAGAAAAACAATAATTATAATAAAAATTAAAAATAAAAAAAATATAATTGAAATTAAAATTGCAATTCTGTATGAAATGCAAAGGAAAAGTCATATGAGAAGATTGCCGAACTTGAGAAAAATTATTTAAGTACTTAATAACGTCTCTTGCGCTTGGCATATTCCTGTTTCTTGATCTCCTGTTGTTTGTAGACAAACAGTGGTCTGAACACTATGGCTCTTTTACTACGTTTATTATTCTCAGCGAACTCTTTGAGGAGAGCAACATGTTTAGGATCCGCCGCACTGCGACGTGTGCGTACTGCATAAGGACTAAATAGCGAAGTCTTAGTAGGATCATGACGATATAGAGTACTCAAGAAGTCGAAGTAGGGACGTGAACGTAAACTGTCCGGTTGATGCAGTGGTGAATTATATTGAAAAGTATTCGGTGTTTGTACATCCAGGTAATTATGACTTTCTCCGTCAGCTTGGGCAGAAATTAAAGTTGCACTCATAATGCATAAAATTACTGCCAACATTGTGTACTGAAAAAAAAAAACAAAATTATTTTATTATAAATATGAAAAAAAAAATTTTTTTAAATAATATAATTTAATCAATAAATAATTTTTGTGTGAATTAAAAAAAAACTAGTTTTTGTCTCTACGTCGAAATTGTATTAATTGCCTTTCATAAATCTTGGCGTCTGATTCTTTGTGACGAATGCGGATTTAAAATGAGTTTGACAAATTTCGTGTTTTAATTATTAATAAACAATTCCTATATAAACTATTGTCATAAGTCTAAAAAACTAGAAATTTTGTTACGTATAACGAAATATATGCACATATGAATTAAATTTTATTTAAAGAATTTTTTTTTTTTTTTTGAATTCACGTTTATTTTTGCTTAATAGTAAAGTTAAGACTTATATATATTTACATATATATATAGATATTTTTTTTTTCATTTGAAGTTATAAATATATTCATTTTGATTATACAGAAAAACCAGTAATACAAAAGAGATCATATGGTTTATTTAATAAAAAGTAAAAAAAATGCTTATTTACATAAAGATAAACAAAAATTATTAGTTTTATTAATAATTCATAGAAAAGTTACGTGTTCGGCAGAAGCATTTGAGGTACGCCCGTCGTCATTGTTTCAGGGTATCACGTTTTGAATGCAGAATTTGTTATTTCATAAATTATGCAAATTAAATGCTTTAATTACTTACAACTACAATACGTGCATCTCCATTCTAGATATGTTAATATTTAGATGTATTATGCATTTTACGAATATTATTTTAAATTATGTACGGCTGACTTTATGCCAATGAGCCAGCACACCTCAAAAAATATATTCGAATCATTCAATAAAATTTGTTAAACATTCTAAATAATTACAATTCTAAATCCTATAATCTAGCTAATAGCGTTTTAACTGGTTTCATTTTTTTTCATTTATTAATAATAAATTATGAGGGCGTTAAAACAATTATTAAATTATTACTTTACAGTATCAAGAAAGGTTACTTTTTGAGACTGGCTATAAGTTAAAATGACAACACAAATTTATTACAAATATTGGATGGTAATAAAGAAGGTGTATATACCAAGAGCCGAAAAAAAAACATTTAGAGATAAAGAAAAATAATAGATCATGGCCATATATTTCAATTATAATATTTTCTATTATAATAGAAAATAAAAGGAAAAATATCATGGCCGAAAAAATTCTTTACCAATATTCAATCTATCTTAAAAGGCAACTATTCAAAAAACAAGAGTCCAACGTCTTTTTATTGTTCATAAATATCATTTATTAAAAATTCTTTTTTCCTCCCTGCTATATTCTAAATTATTTATATTGTATAAAGTTAAATTTGTAAATTTAAATAGCCTATATACATTAAGACTGAAAAGTTTTCGGAAATTCTCATTTAAAATTCGCGCGCTGTATATTTTTCGATATTTTAAGTTTATGTAGTTTGGCAGCACTGTCCTTAATTACTATGCCAAAAATGAGCTCGATCTGTCAGACAGTTCGTTTACGGCAGCTGTTGAAACCAGTTCACCTCAGTAGTGCGTTGCGAAATGTCTTCGACGGTCGTACGACCGTCCTGGAAGGCTTTGTACCACTCATAAACTTGAGTTTTCGATAAAACTGATTCCCCATAAGCCTTTTGTAGCATTCGCAACGATTCTGCACACGAAATTTCGTTCGAAACACAAAATTTGATGCAAACTCTTTGTTCAATATTTTTTTCCATTGTTTTTTTCGCAACGCCCTACTGAGGTGAACTGGTTTCAACAGCTGCCGTAAACGAACTGTCTGACAGATCGCGCTCATTTTTGGCATAGTAATTAAGGACAGTGCTGCCAAACTACATAAACTTAAAATATCGAAAAATATACAGCGCGCGAATTTTAAATGAGAATTTCCGAAAACTTTTCGGTCTTAATGTATAATAAAGAAGAAGAATACTATTACTATTAAAAATCCTACCTGAACTAATTTGTACGAGTGGAATGGAATAAAAGACTACATACTTTACTTTAATACGTATAGATAATAAATATATATATGTACAAAATAATTACAAAAAAAATCAATTTATATAATTTATATTTAAAAAGGATAGTAGTGGAGACGCACATATAATATTGAAACTATGATTAAAAATTTAATTTGCTTTAAGATGTGTGTCTCTAAGTTGACAGATCTTGAAAAATTCGTTAGATATAAAATACAAGGAACCGCTTTAATTCCACCCATATAAAACCGCATCTTCAAATAATCACTTAATTCAGTTTGTCCAAAATTTAGTTCTAATTACTTCCAAATAAGGGGTTATACTATATCAATTATTGATCGAAAATTAGAAAAGTCAAACTGTATAAATTATTAATCAAATATTAAAAAAGTCATACTATATTAACTATTGATCAAACATTAAAAAAGTCTAGTATATATGTAATTTAACATTTTAGTAGAAATATATAAATTGGACATTTTATTAATATGTACTAAACAAAAAGTCCAACTGTTCAATAAATACCTTTTTATTTAATTATCTACTAAATTTCTTATTTGAGTGCTCTATGGAACAATTACTTTTTACAACAACAAGTATCTTACATTTACAGGATTACAGGTTTACATAAAAATTTTAAACCACTTTTAACTTTTAAAGTTAGGTTAAGTTAAGATAGGCTTAAATAAATATTAAACCGTTTTCACGGGTACAACTATTACCAAGACCGAACTAGACTAAGCGTTATTTTAAATATATTTTCGTGTGCTATCCAGAATTATGTTTAGAATAACTCAAGAGTCTACATTCATTGTCCCCGCCAGACTAGTAAAGAAATGGTCTCTCGAATAATTGATATACGATACATAAAATATACATGACACTATATGTAGTCCTAGACATAGCAAGTGATTGATGCATTCTTTCTCTTACTCTTTTTGGCAACTCTTACCTAGTGTGTTAATTAAATTACACTACTATAGACCAATGGTACAACGCCTCGTTACCGGTAAGCAGATTTGCAAGAGTATATAAAATCTTTATAATTAATCCACGAACAATTTTTTTCTATAACGTTTAATTAATCTAAACATCCAAACAGTTCGTACATCGAGATATATATTGAAATATCGGTGCCAATGAACTTACATAACTTCCATAAATATCGTTTAGAGTTAATGGTTACATCCTGATATTGAAAGAGGGAAGATATTGTATTAGAGCATTTCACGTTAACATCTCTAAAGTTAATTCTAGTCCCCATTGCTAGGCAAAGTGAAATAGTTAAATGTAATAATAAATGATATTGAAAGTCAGAGATAATATATTATAGTATTGAAAATATATTATATACTAATTTTTTTTTTGAGCAATACATTCTAAATATTTATTTTATTTATTTGTGAGTTGACACTAAAATTAATTTTAAAGTCAACAAAGAATAAGGAACCTAATTACTAGGTCCTTAGCCATTCTACATAATTATAGTTGCATATATTAAATAGTCGGCACACTTAAGACTAGTCATGATAATCAAATAACAAATAAAAAAATTTGTTATATACTGAAATGTACTTTCATAAATAAAAAATTATTAACATAAAATTTTACTAAAAATTGATTTAATATAATTTATGAAAATTTATGTAAATATATTATTCATTTTTTTTTATATGTTTTAAATAAGAGCACGATTCCACAATCATCGGTTAATGACTTCTAGGTCAATACAAATTGAACTGATATACATTCCCAATTAAAAATTAAAATTATGCATTTTTAATGATTCAAAATATACTAAAATAATAAAATGTAAAAAAATGCATCAGACCACAAAATGCTAATGTAAGTCTGAAGCCAATCGAGAGCATGTAACCGGTTGACTAGTTTATGGTTCATGGTTACAATTAAAAAATAAATAAATAAATCATTAAAAATCAAAATATCAAAAATAAAAATAAAAATAAAAAAATACCCATAAAATCTCAAACGTATTAAATATCAATTAAGTTAAATGGAAAAAAAATGTACTTTTGTTTTATATATATATTTTTTTTTGTTTTTGTTTACATAACATTTATACGTTTTACATAAATTATGAACTTAAAATACGTGGAAGTCACTTAAGTTTTTGGTTCGATTAATTAACCAAAAATGTCACCTTTGTTTGCAATCGTAAATTATATAAATTTAATTGCTTAACTAGTTCTAAATATTTTTTAAAATAATTTTATTACTCTTTATTATTTAAATAAATTAAAATATATTACAAAATATTTTTTTGAAAAACTTTGAAACTATTTGCAATAGATTTGTTAGACTTTCGGAAGAAACCTAATTACTATTAAATAAATTAATTAACAATTTAATAAAATTATATTGTTAAAAATTATATGGTATGAAAATAAACTACTTGATGATGACAAAGACATATGATATATAAAAAAAGAGATATCCATTTAAGTAAATTAATAAATAATTTTTAACTATTAAATTATTATTAAAAATAATGATAATATATATATTAATATTTATAATAATATTTATAATAATATTTAATATTAATAATTAGTAATTTTTAATAATTAATTATCAAAGTATAGATAACATAATAGGGGACTCTATGCTCCTCTGGTAGAAGAAGATAATAGAAGAAGAAGAAGAAGTAGATAAGATTGTATGAACCAAATATGATGAAGTTAAATAATCATTTAAAAAGAGGTAAAGTATATGAAGGAGAAGAAAAAAATGTATAAAAGGAAACATATCCATACAAATAAATTAATTATTAACTTTTAAATTTTAATAATTAATTTTTAATAATAATTGAAGATCTGTACGTTAAAGTTAAAAGACCCGAAAATGATAAAATTTAGTAACATAAAAAAAAAAAAATTATGTGAAGTAAAAAAAAGTATTATACGAAAGAAGAAATATAATGAAAACAAAAAATATGTTTATTATTTATAAATGTTTATATAAAATAGAAGGAGTTCGAAACACC